CAACGATAGAATACATTTTTCACGACTACGTTCGGTTATTAAAATTTTTAAATATGTATTTTTTATTACAAAATATTACAAAACTATTCATCATCATTATATCAACAATTTTTCTACAATAAATTAATTATATTCATTATTAATACTTTTAAACAGCTCTATATTATTTGTTTTTTTTTTAATCACTTATTGTACAAATTATTGTTGTAATCGCTGATCTTTAGTACTTGCAATGTTATCGAATTTTTGTTAAGAATAAAATGGCAACTGAGTGAGATTTTCCTAACTGTCCCTGCGTGACGTATGAGGGTGACTATGACGTCCCTTTTCCGCGTGCGGAATAAAATGGAAATGCCTAGCAGCGGGAGGTATAGGGAACCCCCGCGGATTCAACTGTTTCGAGGTAGGAGTACGAAAGCGAACAAGAGAGTCATCCGGATTTGCCCCTTCGTACTACCGCCCGCACTGAAAGCAATGTTTCCTACTTTTATGCCAAAAAAGCCTCGATTTATTTCTTTGGGCACACATTGGAACGATATATCGACACCGATAAAATCCGGCGATGACTGATCCAATCTTCTTTTTCTAAACTACACGACGTTTCCATCAATTCAAACAGCTATCCACGAGATGCAATGAAAATTTATATTATTATTTAATTATTCAAATTATTATTTGATTATTTAAAAAAAAATCAAACAAGTTATATTTTGAAAAAAATGAAGTACATTGTTACATTTAACTAATTAAATAAATATATTTATTCGACATCACTTTGATGTGAATAATTAAACAATTTTATAAATTATTTACAAAAATTAGTTTGCTGCAAATATGTTTCAAACTGTTTAAAGCATCATAACAAAGTGACTGATTTTTTGGTAATAAAAAATCGTGTTATCACAATGCTCAAATGATAGCTTGTGCCAATGTGTACATTTGTCACAGTGGCGATTACCATTGTTTACGAAGGGCGAAAATTCAATTAACATTTTCTAGAATGTCATATATAGTCACTATAAAATCGTGACACGAAAGCGCTCGACCTCTTTTTCGCTTGGACTCGTCGCAGTAGAAAGCAAATTGCAACTGTTGTATGCGTTAGAAAGAAGTGTGCGTATTTTGTTCGTTCGTCTGTTCATAGTCCTTGGCCTAAGTGATCGGCAATATTAATATATGAATATATTGATGCTAGAGCTCTCAAAAGCTAAAGTTCCTGTCTGATTTGGTTACCTGCGGATTGTAGGCCTTTATGTTCTCAGCAGAACGGTCAGAAATTGTAAGAGTGCTCCGAGTTTTTTTCGAGAGACTACCGAGAGCTGTAGAATCTTTCCACGTGAATGAGAGGGAAGAAGAGGGTCGGCGGGCGAGTGAGAGAGCGACGGAGCGCCGCTGAGCGCTGCAGTTTATTTCGGTCGGGTTAATTAGTGTTGCCTCGCGAGGTTTACGGTTGACATTTCGTTGGTCGTTCGTTCGTCGTTCTACGGAGAGGAAGAACGGGCACGGGGAAGGTGAGGAGGAGGACAAACAAGGGGGCTAAGGGGGGTTGAGGAGACCGGCTTTTTTACGGCGACATACTGGTCGGCCATACCGTGTGCCAAAGAGGAAGACGAAGTCGGCGTAGAAGTGGTGTAGAAGAGGAAAACGGACAAGGAACAAGGACGGTTCCGACCAATAAAACTGCAGTGCCCCTCGAAGGTACCTCGAAGGCGCCAGGGCAGTTTGGACCTCCCCTTATTAGCTTCCTCCTTCCTTAACGCGTTTGCCTGAGAGGCCTGCGTAACAACCTTTTGTTTTATTCCGCGGTGTGAATCGCGCCATGCCACGGCATTCGAATTAGACCCACTTTTATGATTCCGACGCGGTAGAGAAACTAATGATTGCTTTTGGAGAACCCGCAGCTAGAAAAGGTCGTAAAAGCTAACCAAGGCATTACAAGAGTATAATGCAGCCTCGATGAATAGATCTGTGAAAAGATCTGAATACAAAAAAAAATTAACGTAACAATCGGCTATTCTTCCTTCTGTAAAATATGATTCTCTTTATTTTTTGAAGAAGATACTAAAGTTGAAGAAATTCAGAAAAAAATAGAAACGCTTTTAATCTAACTAGGTCGATAGTAAAATAAAGGAGGGACAAGAGCGAGGAAGTAGGAAGAAAGGTAGACGGTTCGGTACCTTATTAAGCATCCTTATCGCAACAGACGGCTCGGGCCGACATGGCCGTTTAACTTTTACTCGACCTGCGAACAAGTAATGGACACGCTGGCCGGCAAGATAGTGCCCCGACAGTTCCTTCTTCTGGCAGAAATCTTCGCCTTATCAGACTCGAAAAACTTGACGGCTGTAAACACCAAACGATCCTGCGCGACTTGACCGCAGATATTTCCAGCCGAGATTTACAACGACGCTGTCCAGTTAGGGACGTGAGTTGTAGACACGGAAATCTGATATTCCCCTTTTTACAAATATATGTGTATTGACATTAAATATATCAAGATCTTTTTTTCATCATTTTAAATTTGGTTAAAGTCCAAAAACTGCGCCGTAATAACGGCTGCAAACCGTAAAATAATTATGCTGTGCAATTTCGCGGAAGATAACCTTTCATTTCCATGATATTACTATTTCTGTCTGCGATAGTACAACAGGGCGAATGTAACAATAAAAACTGACGAACCGCGAGTACTGTTTTCATCATCGTAATCATAAATGTTACGTCCGACGGCGAAACAAATGGACATTCAACATTCGAGTGATATTTTCACATCGCGCACCAGCTGCCGCCACATTTCATTTTGTCACCTCCACATCCGCGGCATAATTCTTCTCGTTTAATTATTCGATGTTCGTCACATCGAACGACACTATAGACGATGTCACACGCTACACGATCCGAACAGGAAACACCTTACTCGCTGACAAAATATTTGGTTGTCAAAGTAAAACAGTTTTTCGTATACCTATGGATTTGTAAGACTGACTCTCTTTGTTATAAATATTCAGTCTGAGTCCTGGGAAATCTGCTTTCACCAACTTCGATTAACTTGAACGGTCCTTACATGAAAATTCTGTGTCAATACAAACGAGAATTGAATATGTATTCAGCGTGCAGTAAAAATATTTTCTATTTTGATAATCTTCGGGATTTCGGAACTTCAGGATTAAATGGATTATTGTAGTTTCGATGTTGTACATCGACTTTCTGAAAGAAGTTATGGCACGAGTTAAATCTGCCCAATAAGATTGACAATAAGATTGTGGTTTCCGAACATGATTTTTTCAAATGTTCGCATTATAGTCGACCATGCTCGTTATAAAGGCGTGATCGGCAGGTCACTAGGTTTACGCAGAACAATAAATCATCCTGAGGAACCTGCGGCCGTCGAGGTATCCCGAGGCACAGGTACAACGTCCTCGAAAGGATGTTTATCTCCGGAGGACCTCGTCAACCTGTCAGCTAATCCTATTAGCAGAGGAGGATCTTGTTTCCTTGCAACTACTATTTTCTCGTTGTCCTCGGACGTCCCGCCGACCGTTCATCCGTTTATTCTTGTTCCCTAGACATTCTTACTTTCAAGAAAACGAATCTTAGTTCTGCTTTTATTTGTCACGTGCGAATTCCAACCACTTTGTGCATTTTTATGCAATCGCCAATAGTGTGAACAATGAGCAACGAAAAATGCTTTCGAAATAAATAATGACAAATGTTATATTATCGATAAAATGTCAGGTAAGAAAATTAAATTAATTTGTAAAAAAAAGTTATCGATTAGATATATTCGATGTAAAGTAAAATGAGGATAAATATTTCGTACGTTTCGATAAATTATGTGTATACAGCTTTTGTTCGACAAAACCAAAATCGGATCTCGATTCTCCACAGTGACAATACTTGCGTACGAGTGAACAATATCCCTTACACTAATTTAGCGGATAAGTATTTCGTGCACGGTTAATGATTTCAACCCATTAGTACGATCTAATAACCCGTGAAATTATTCCAAGTTGAACGGCACGGGGTAAATCCCATGGCTAATCTTCTCGGTGTCCATCGCTTGCGAAATTTTCAATGGGAGAACAATAGGCCGGGACTAATGTTTGGCTTATGCACTGGCGCCAGAAACATGTACTATACAGCATATCTCTCATTAATTGCGCTCTGCTTATTAATATTTCATGCATATATACTTTTTTAAATAATAAACGATACAAATTTTAGTTTATAAATTTTCTACTATTAAAACATGCTATTCACAATGAAAATAATTTTTAAAAGTTTTAAAATGTATTTAATTAGAAATTGACTGTATTAATATAATTTTTGCTCAATACAACCTTCGAAAAACGCGTTTTCTCAAAGCACAGAGTAACACGCTGTACTTTTAGTTAAAATCAGCCCGATTATATTAACATTTCGCGAAGAACGATCTATCATATCTCATTTTGCGATCTCGCAAACTAAAGAATAGGCGCGATATATCGGCCGGAAGAAGCCGTTCTTCCTCGCGAGCGGGACGGATTCAGAGGGACGGAGGGTCGCGGATTTATTTAAGTCCCGCGCCGTCGGGTTGACAAGAGTAGAGCCGCGTAAACATACTCGTTTCTCCTTGTTCAGCCGCGACCGTGCAGCGTCCCGCAGCGAGGTAGGGCGCCGCGACGCGGCTCGCCGGATCGTTCGCTCGTCGGTGGTTCCGTCCTGGCGAGTGGTGGGGATCAGAGGCGTCTCGACGTCGGTGGGCACGTTTGAAAAACACCATCGCTCGTGCGCCGAGTGTTCCCGGCCAATCCCCGGCACCGAAGCAACCCACAGGCCTCGCCCTTCGGCCGGCGAGCGGGTGCGCGATTGCTCAGTTCCGTTCGAATCACCTCCCACGTATTCTCGGTAGGGATACGCGATGCTTTCCGTTTTCCTCGCCAGAGGGGGAGCCGTGACAGAGAGCGGAGCGGAGAAGCCCGCTGAAGTGGTGTGAGTGGTGCCGAGTCAGTCGCAGACTGGAGTGCCCTGAGAGAGCAGGGGACGGACCGAACGAGAGAACGAACGAATTGACTCTCCATACCTAACTGCCTCGTGACGCTTCGCTCGCACGCCGTTCCGCCTGCCTGTCTGTCTGTTTGTCTATCCGAATGTCCGTCCCGCATCCACGGTGTCGTCGTCCCGGTACTGTTATCGTATCCTCGTGCTACGTCCCGTGCCAGCTGCTTTCATGACGCGCCGCGCCGCGAGCCGCGAGCTGCTCCGTATCGCAGCGTGGAGGAGAGCCGTCCTCGGTGTCGCCGCGCGTCGCCGCTGATCACGTTCTGCCGTGGGCATCGCAAGCAGGAACTCAGGATTGAAGTGCGCGAAGATACGAAAGCGGCGCGATGACGTCCCGTTGACAATCGCCGCCGATTGCAGAGGAAACGTGCGGCATGAGGCCGACTAAGGCCGATCAGGACTTCGAAGCAGCCTGATGGCAGTCTTCGCCGGCGATCATTCGTCGCGCTTTCTGTCGTCTAGTTTTTCGCGTGTCGTCGCGATATTACTGCGCGTAAAGACCCAGTGAGAGAGAGAGAGAAAGAGAGAGAGAAAGAGAGAGAGAGGGAGGGAGAGAAAGAGCGAGAGAGTGCAGTGCGTGCAGGTGCGGTTGTGTCCCGATCCTTTTTGGTTCCGCGTATACTCGGAGAAAAAAAAGGGAGGACTGCACGTCAACGTGCGTAGACTCTAATCATGTCAGCGTACGCGCAGTTCGGATACTCGTATCCGTCGGCATCTCAGGTAAGTCACTAAATGATCAATAAATAATCGTACAAACAGTATCCGAATTATCAATCGATTTATGATAGAAAGGAAAGCATGAGTTATATAGCTTTGCGGTAAACAATTGGCGATTTATTTCGCGTGGCATTTAAAATTCATTATTTTTCTACACGCGTATTCTGTACTCATTATTCAATTGAAATTGAAGTAAGAATCAATCATTTTCACATTCGGATAATTTTACAGATAAAATTACGAATAAGAGAAATTATTTTAATTAGCTGAAAATTTCTATATAAATAAGAATAAAAGAATCTTTTATTAGTAAAAATATTTTTCCATCTTTCTGTAAAGTTTGCCGATATGATACCACTCTGTATCTTTTGGATCTGATTTCGTATCTTTCATTTATTACACGTAACATCATCGCGTAATCGCGCACATTTACGTAAGTGCTTACCTCGCACTGGAGGTCTTGGAACGAGAACCGATCGCGAGTTCGAAGAAGTGGAATTCCACGACCGGTCGTTGCCAATAATAGCGTACAATTAACATTCGCGCGGGTTCGCCCGAAGAAAGCGAGATCGCCTAGAGGCGCACCTGCCTTCTTCGTAGGCAGGCTAGAGCGTAAAATGTAATCGAACCCGGGACTCGGCGACGGCCGTCGCTTGAACGTGTGACGCGACGAGGAAAAGGGCCGCATTCTAATGTCCATTTAATGCTAAACATGATTGTCTAATTCAATCCAATATGTTTGACCTCTTTTAACACAAAGATAAACGTCAATACGAAGGGAGAATTCAATAGTCACATATGAGAAACTCAATAGTCACATATTAGAAAACGATATTAGAAAGTCACATTTAGTGTTAAATATTCAGCGAGAAACAAAATTTTTCTCGTGTGTTTTATTTATTAATTCTCTACAGTAAATTGCGCGTAAAAGAAATGAACCACGATGAATCGATTAATCAATATTCAAATGTCAATCTCAAATGATTGTCACGACAGAAGTAGATAAAACGAGTAAGCGTAAAAATAAATAGAAAGAGTTTTATGTTAACGATACTATTTTAAGATTATTATATGTGATTTATTATATGTTAAAAATTTTGATGCCAAAATATGAGATAATTTATGAATTACCTAATTATCCAAGAACTAATTAATTATCGTCGATATTTTCGCAAAAGAATCAGCACGCAAAAGCGAGTCTTTCATAATAAATTATTTAAACAGCGAGTTCTTTTTTTCAAAATTGACATCCTCCCAATCAGATGTAAAAATAATACTCGAGTTGCTTTTACGGTGATGATCGACATGCGCCGGTAGACCTTTTGAGCGGAATAGTAATTAAAGAGCCGCACGCCTGCATTGCCGCGTATCGCTTACTTAATCGGCGCTTACTTAATGTGCGCTTTCTTTTTTCGTGACGTACGCGCAAAAAGTGTTATTAGAGGTCAAACAAATGAACTAGAATAGAAATTCCTGCATCATGGACAAATAATCTTAGATTAATCAGTATGTTAATACATGTACTTGGATGAATATTTTCATTTGCATTTCCAGTTAGATTTACACGCAATCGTTAGTTGTGAATAACAAGAAAATACCTTCTGAATTGTAAAAAAGAAAAGAATTACAAAATAGAAGTATACTTGTTTATTTAAATATCGACTAAAAAAGTGTATTTTCGTTCTTCAGCGTATTAAATAATGTTAATTTTGTCAGTGTTATCAAGCTAAAAGGAGATTTATATTCTACTATTCGCTTAAAATTCATTTAATTCATGTTCAATATTCAATAATTTTAATACACATGTGTCCTATAATGTGTTAATAAGATTAACTTTGTTAGCGTTATCAAGCTAGACAAATCTATTCTACTCTTCATGCAAAATTCATTTAATTCATGTTCAATATTTAATAAAATTTCAATACATGTGCTCTATAAACAGTAATTTTAACTTTGTAATTAACTGTTCTACAGAATAGTGTACAAATGTGTAGAAGAACCTATAATATTTATGACTTTCTGCGCATTCATCATAGTATTCGTGCAATCAATGATAAAAAAAAAAGATCTTTGATTAACAAGTAACAAGTTTCACTATGAATATCTAAGAATAGAACCAAGAAAGCGACGCATATTTGCAAAACTTGCACAAAAAAGCACGACAAGGCAGAAAAGATATTGTGGTATCGTAACGTTCGCATAAATTCATGTTTGCGGCAATCGCTTGGGGACACAATGTTAAAATACGTTTGTTGCGTTGAATATGCGGGATAACATTAATGTTAACAAAACGTTGGACGATATGACATTATAAAGATATATTATGTGCCAGTTGTCGAGTTAAATTAGATAGGAGGTAATTAAGATTCTACTGGGCCGTCCGTAATGAATATTCAACCGTATGTTTTGCTCCACTTTAAATTTTTTCATTAGTTTATTCTGCGCGTCAGAATTTAGCCGGAAAATTTATCAGAAATCGAATTGAACGAAATGCATTGTTTAAGTGAAATCAAATATAAAACAAAAATAGTTCCAGTTGCATGCAACGCGGCACAGAATATCAAAAATAAATTGCAATAATATTACATTCAATTAATCGATACTTCAAATAAAAAAACTTTAGATTTCGAAATGATTGTCTCTTCTTTCATAGAGCAAAGCGACAATTAATGTTAAAAATTAAAACACTGAGATAAAATAGTCTTCTGTACAAGAGAATCTTCGCAGGAAGGAACTGTAAATTTGTCGTGGCACTCGGAAGGAAGTACGCGACTTCTGAGACATCCTATACGGATTACAATTTTGCTTACCGTAAATAGGATGATATATATGCACGATGGTTACAGAAGCGGCGCGGCGCTGTATCTCGCAATCGCGTTCTCCAAAAAGAGGAGGATGGAAATAAATAATGCTCGATAAAAGCAGCGCGCACACGTAAAACGCACCGAGGGTCGCGCAGGTGCAGCCTGTGCGCCGCGCGTTTGCGATGGCAATAATACGGGTAGGTCTGCCCGCATCGCGGCTGCCGCAGCCGTGTGGAAGATCCGTTGCAACGTGAGAGCTGCAAATTGCAATATTTGCTACAGCGTCAAACGCGTACGTCGAGGCCTACGTCTTGGACACGAAATGCGCGCCTTCACCGTCTTTGCCGATTCGCCGGGAAAAAATATCGTACCGAGACCTTTCTATCGTAACGAGCCAGGAATTTGCATAATCGTGCTGATGAGCAGCGGTACATTCACTTCATAAATACGCGTTGTTGATTGATTCGTTAAAATATGAAGTAATTTAAAGAGAAACTTTATAGCATGATATTTCGATGCGGCTCGCACTACATATCGTAGTACATTACACTCCCGTATAATCCCGTAATATTATCCAAGTCTTATAAATTCGTTGAAATACTTTGTCGGATCTTAAAAGCATCATCTGTCGCTTCGATTCGATTCGTTAATATTTCTTTATTTTGCAGCGAAATATTCAAATACAACATATAGCATTTTCTCTTTCGACTAATTTCCTTTATATTATTAGATTAATGCAAAAGATTTATCCTACTTGTCAAATAAAATTGAAGATAAATTTATATTGTTGTTAATCAAAATGATTTTTTAGGCGTAGAAAAATCTTTTTTTCTTTCATGAAAAAAATGTATTAAAGTCAATAGCGACCAGTTTGATTAATAAAAATGCACTTGAAGCTCTGTAATTATTTTCAATGTTACACAAACATGGTAAACTATTTGTATCAATGTAATGGAATATCATATGAATTGTTCATTCGCAATCTACATCGCGCAAATGAAGTAAGAGATCCGGTTGTACCGTTGGAAACTTCAGAGAGCGAACGATTAACATGTATATATGGGTAGTAATTATGTATAATTATCTAAATGGCGTTACGAAATTTGTCATGGTTTGCGAACGCGCGTTGCAAGTCCATACCACGAGATAATAACTACCTTGTACCGATGATTTCTAAGCATATGCGATAATTGATGTTTATACTCTACTTATGACACGATTTGCTACAGATAGAACAGGACGAGTCGTAAAATCTACAATTGTAATTTTAATTGAGAGCTAATTCCACACCGACAGCTTCGATTAACTTATACTAACTATATATATAATAATTCCTTGTTTGCTACAACATAATCCTAGTATAACTAGCAATAAGATACATATTCAGTGACATGATTAAACTGAGAAGAAATTACAGTAATGTCATTCATTTCAAAGACGACTTAATTATCGCTATTTGTTTTACAAATTTTAACCTAAATAATAAAATAAAAAATTAATGTAAAAATATCACAGAGGTTTTTTCCTACAAGTTTTTTCAATCTTTCTTTCTATCCAACCATTACATTCAGAAGCTGTACTTCTGTATTATAGTATTATAGTATTATAATATTCGCGCGTATACCAAAAGGGTGAAACTTTCGAGCACCGGCCGCGATCGCCATTCAGCTGCGGTCACTCTATCTAAGCTTGAACATCGTGCTCCGTTCGCTAACAATAAGTTACACGTGATGACAATAATGAGAATCGTGCAATGCAATATATCGTGCATATAATTACGAGCGTCGACACGGAAGCGCCGCGGTATCCGCGATATCGATTTTCAGGATCGTGGTCTACACGTTCTCTTTCTCTCTCCGCTCGTTCTCTTTGTCTCGCTTTCATTCACGCCGCCCTCTTTTTGCGCTGTTCGCGGCCATTGTTATCGCGGGGGAATCGACGCGAACCCTTGGCAGAGGAGTGACGCGAGAGATCGACGAGCTGGCTCAACTGCGAACGTGAGCGCTTCGCTAATTCTCACCGCTCCTCTTGCTTTCATGAACCGGTAATTAGGCGATATCCAAGTATTGCCGAGGATTCGTGGTGCATACAGTGTGGTAAGAGAGATATATGTATAATACCAAAGGATTAAATTAGGAAATGGTAGAAAAAGAACTCCCATCGCGTACTATACGGATATTTTTCTCTCGATCATTATAT